CAAGTTGGGCATTCATACGCTCCCATGCCACATGACGACCAACCGATGGCCACTCTGTAGTTGGGGCCTCTGAGGTCCTCAAGGTAAGTCGTAGTCAACGCTTCCATTGATGAATCTCAGCCTCAATACGGCCGTTGGAGGGTGGGTCGTCCCCAGACGTTGACGTTTGCCAAAGGCCCTTCTGAGCGGCCCATTGACGAACTGGTGCACTGATCAGTTCTTTGGCACGATCCGAGTGAAGTCGATATATCGGGATCCCCAGGCTCCGATAACGAGCGTAGACCCGATGCAAAGCTTCTAACACATCCCTCGTAGCCCGTGACGAAAGTGGTTCAACCACTGTGATATTCTGGATGTCGATGGGGTTGGTGGCGATGTCCCTCTGTCTTTTCCACTCTTCATTCAAACGGTCCATGACTGCTTGATCGCGGCCATGACCAGAAGCATCGACAGCATCTCCTTCATGTTGAGGATCTGGACCATCGCGTTCACGAAGTTCAGGAAGAGGTTGAAGAGGATCTGATGGTAGAGGTAGAGCTCCATCATGGTCGCCAGCACCTCCATCATGTTGACAATCTTCAGGATGTAGGCCATCATCAACAGCCTCAGTCTCGCTACAGGGCGAAGTTTTTGGATCTGCCAATCGCGATCCAACCGGCACAGGTATCGTAGCAACCAGTGCATACTTGGCCTCTTTAGCCATACCATAGTCCCATCCCTTGACAAAGGGGCCTGCGACGTCCACGGCCAAGACATAGACAGCATCGCCAGCTCCACGGTGTTTTCTGCGACGGTGAGGAACATCTTGACCCATTTCTTCGACGCAGACTCGACAATCTCGCCTGAAAGGCACATGGTTCTGCTGCACATGTTGACGCCAGTCGTCCAGGCTCATCTTTTTCACTTGAGCTTCCTGGTCTATTTTTTCCAAGAATCCTCGAAGAGCCAACTTGATGACTTGAACTAGGCCCGGGGACCATTCGGCCCAGGTGGCAGTCTGACGAAGACGGTCAGGAAGATCCGGTTGTAGAGATTCATGTCCCCCTCCAGATAGACCGTCCAGCTCGTTGAGAGCATGAAGAGATGTCATCAGTGTCGTTGGCTTTCGGCGTGAGTGGCCTGTTCGGCCCTGATCAAACTTCACCACGTTCAATTGGTGTCGACGGGCAAACTCCCGAATCTCTTCCCATTCCCATACTGACGGCGTCATCGAGGCATCATCGCCAAGATAATCCTGAGGGTCAGCAGGGTGCTCCATCAAGAAAGCACGTTCTTCATGCGGTTGGGCCACTTCCACTGCTCGGTCAAACAAGCCAAGCATCTTGAGTATCAGCGCGCTGTCATCCGTGACAGTCTGAAGTTCCCATTGGTTCAGATCTGGCAGTGACCAGCGTTGTGGACCTCTAGCACGTAGTGGTCGAGGTCCTGGTCGTTGATGACGAAGACGAGAAAAACTTCTGCAAGGAGGTCCACCCAAAATGGCAAGCAACTTGTTGCGGGATGCCAGGTCCCACAAATAGGACCAGATCGTGGCATTGTGAAGGTTCTCCGCGGCATTGGTGGAAATGTCGAGCGTGATGACTTCGTAGCCATTCTTCCGCAACTCCTCCCATTTTTTGGACATCACCGCACCACCTGAAAACAGATGTAGGATCACCCCCTTTGAGGCCTCGATCTGTCGACGTCTCCTTCTATTCCATGGTAGGGTTGGACCACTGCATTCTGACCAGTGTCTCCCTTGACCCTTCATTCTCTGGAGAACTTCATCAGGGATCTGCGGAAAGTACTTCCGCCACCATTCTTCCACATCTTTTTCTACCCCCAACCCATTTTCAGTCTCGGCCTTCTCCAGCTCCTCGAGAAGCAGTAGAGCTTCATCTTCTCTCATGACTGGGCATCCTTGACGACGCCAGCACTGAAGGTTTCCCTTGACAGGGTGAGCGATCACACACTCATTTGACGACCACTTCACCTGGTAGCCGTTCTCGACCAAGAGGCGCATGGGTAAGATCACCTCGATGGGTTCCTTGGAGAGCAGGGTGCGGCATCCATCATGACGATACAGCGTAGTTCGGCCATGTGCAAGTTCTACAGATACTGGCTGAGCATCACGTAGCTCCGCTGCTGAACCTTGACGTAGAGCATGTGTTGCCCCTCCATCAAGGAGGGCAACCTTGCAGTCCAGTGGGGGCTCGTTCGAACCACCAGCATCCAAGAATCGAAGCTGCACAGCCTTCAGGCTCTGAAGCGACTTCATTAGGCTCGTCACATCGATGACCGGAGTTGATGGGACCACTGGGATCTCCTCCACACCCTTGGACACCGGCTTCTCCTCCGTGGATCCGGTAGAGGATGAGGACGTTGGCTGCACAACCTGGGCATCCTTTCCTGAGGTCTGTTTCTTTCCTCCAGGGGCAACCTTCGTTGTGCCAGCATTGACCTTTGAGATCTTTCCTTTCTGATCACCATCCCTTTCTTGAGTTTTGTAAGGGCAATTGGGCTTCATGTGACCCTCCCCCGAACAAAAGTAACATCTTCCACTACGTTGGATTCCTTCCCATGAATGTTGATATGCACATTTATCTCCCCTTTTACAACCAACTGAGCTACCCCAAAACTTACATTTTGGTTTTTCGCCAGTAGCACCTAGCGGAGCTATCCCCACCAGTCCTGAGCGATGCAGTCTTGGGAACCTCCTTCTTCTTCACGTCAGAGCTTGAAGACGTTGATGACAAGGTCGTTGAAGGCCGGGACAAAGCAACCTGCTCAATCTCGGCTTGAAGGGCCTCCGCAAAGTACATCACCTGGTCAGCATCCGGACGGTTGTCCAACTTGAGGTCTTGACGTAGCGTGGCCACTCGAAACGCAGTTTGAGCCCCACCGAGTCGACTGATGTGCTCTGCCCACTTGGTCAGCACGCCCACAATCACCAAAGTATCAGGCAAGGTGACCTTGAGCTCGTTCGCCCTGTTGACATTTCTTCTCCACATCCTCAAGGTGTTGAGAACCTCCTGCACTGACGGGTTGTTTCCAAGACGATCCTCAGTGATGTCCTTCAAGAGCACGGTCCGCTCCTGTGGACCTCCAGGCTGGTACGTGATCAGCAGCTTGTAGATGATCTCGACCGTTGACAATCGCCGAGAAGCAATGAGATCACGTCGAACTCCTTCGGGAAGACAAGCTAGAAGCATGGTCACAGCTCGCTGTTCAGTGCGTGGCCACTTGGATGCTTCGGCAGGCACCGGTGGACGTAACCTCAGTCGGTCCAAAGGTCCTGACAAGATCCATTGGCGGTACCCATCCTGAGCAGCACCTACAATCAACTGCCACCAAACTCCTGAAGTGGAGCTAAGGTCAGACATGATTGGGTCGATTACAGCCAACCAATCCCCTAGAGACAACGCTGTTGTGTTTTGACTCAAGCGAGGCAGTTCCAAAACCCTCAGGCTTTCTGCAAACGACTCCCCAACTTGAGCCGCAGCGGTCCCTCCAGCACGTTGAGCTGCTTCAGAGGGTCGAGCTGTTTCAGACGGTTGAGCTGGCTGACCAGCCCCATTTTGACCAGTTTGAACCCCACCTTCAACCTCACGCCTTAACCTTTTCACTCCAAAACACATTGGTTTCTGGTGGACGTGGTGGTGTGATCAAACCCTCCGGTCCTTCTACTCGTTGTGCACCAGGATCTTGTAGAGCAAGTTCAGAACGTTGACGATGTCCCCCGGGTGGTTGAAGAGCGACTGGTTGACCTTGAGGTGGTAGATCAAGAGGTCGTAGAACAAGATCTGCAGGAGGTAGAGCTAAAGGGCCCAACAGGCTTCCACCATATCCTCCGGTTCTTTGATCGTCTCGTTCACCACCTCCCTCACCTTGTACCCCAGGCCGACAATCAAGTTGACCCCCACCAGGTGCTCGAGCAGTTCCGGCTCCATCTTGATGTCCCGCTAGTACAGATACATCACCAAGTTGCAGCGGCGGCGGCAAGAACTCAGGTCGCCTCACCCATCCGCTATTTGTAGGGCTTGTCCAGCGCGTAGAGCCTCAGCAGCCCTCGCTAGAACGCCTTGTTGCTCAGGCGACAGGCCTTCCATCAACCTTCGATTCCCCTCATCCATCGCCACAGTACCCTCTGCTGGCACTACAGCTCCGGTCTCTTGGGTTTCATCTCCAGTTGGTTGACCTTCGCCTCGAGCAGGTGGAGCATCAGCCCTCGCAGAGATCCTCACCGACCTCACAGCTGGTTCTCCTCTTCCTTCCTCCTGGATCAACCGATCCAACCTTTCATCCGATGTTTCGTTCTCCGTAGCTAGGAACTCATCAGCGTCCCTTGCCCTCGAAGATGACCGTCGACGACGCTCCATTGCAGAGCTCAGTTTGGGCTCATAACCTACGGGAGGCTACAAACCAGGTGGATATGGGTTCCAACAACTAAAGTTGCGTCCCAATGTTATGGGCTCCAACAACTAAAGTCGCGTCCCAATGACACCTCGTTGTTTTCCTTGGCAATCTCAGTTTGAGTCGCCTTGAGCCAACGCATTGGCCAGGCAAAGCTTTGCAAAACCTGAGTGCGACAGGGTCACAAATTTGTAATGTAACCGCAATATATATACATATATATATAAGCAATTATCAAACCATATGCCATATGATCTAATATATCACAGATATCCACCATAAAGCGATATGAATATCTACATTAATTTATAAACCATATGATCTTATATAGTAATATCTATATAACATATGGGTTTATAGTGGTTTATAAACCATTTTGGATCTAGACATCTTTGTTGTTCATCCAAGGTGTTTACGGCGGACATTTTCAGTGTCCAAGCCATCCTCTTGATTTTTATTGCCAATGGAAATAGCCTTGATGCTGGATTATGATTACCATGTGGTTTGTTAGGGATTATCACCCCATCAGGATACCTCTTGACCAGTATAGTGTGGTAGATGGGCTCCCAAAATGGTGTAGCATGGTGTAGCCACGCATGTGCTGATAGGCCGCGGTGCTGCCTCCCGTTGAAAGCAGCCGGAAGAGAAAGCGAAAGAAGGCGCAGATTCCCATCCTGAGCTGCTGTTTATTGGCATTTATTGGATGTCGCTATGGAAAATGAATGAAAAAGGACAAAATGTGCCAAAATGTGCCGATTTGTTTCCATTGTGCTGCCTTGAGGCCAATGTCCTTCCTCCAGATGACGAACAAGAGGCAATGGCAGATTTGCCAGGGCTCTTTATGCTGTGCTTTTGGGTTCCGCAAAACCTTGGGACATAGATGTGGGTCAAATTGATTATCCAGCCAAGACTTCAAGAATGAATGCTTTCTACAAGCAATAAGGAATGAATTTTGTGGGTCAAATGCTTCCCCAAATTCAAAGAGCACAGGATGTGTGATATTTCTTGCTAGAGCTGTTGTTCGAACATGACTGTGGTGCATATTCTGAAGCTTCTTTTATTGAGTTATTATTCGTTATTATTGTTATTCATAATCTCAACGCTCAGTTTCTAGATATGTCGTGATTTTCTTGCAGCATGTTGCCGTTTGGTTGGTGTTTAAAGCGCGAGTTTTTTCACGTCTCTGTCTCTCCAACGATTTTTACTTCTGAAGCTTCTTTTATTGAGTTATGATTATAGTCATTACATGTTATTACATGTTATATTACCATTATCATCCATTATTTCTTTTATTCTTTTAAAACCACCCAATTTTTTCTTTAAACAGAAAATCCATTTTGAGAGGTCCTCCTCATGGGTCATGGTGCCGTGCAGGTTGCTCTTAATACCTGGCTGACAAATGGAAGGAGCAGAACCAGACATCTTTGGGGTCACTGTAGGGCTTGGAGTGTATCAAACATGGAATATCATGGAAATATTTGTGAATGTGGACAGCATCATTGAAATCCATCTTTCCATCATTGTTCCATCATTTTTCTCATTAATTTTTCACATGTTCACATTCCAAAAAAGTGGAATCGCCAGGAGACTGGGCGTGCAGTGGAGTAGCCTCAGCCAGGTAGGACCACGGATGCGAGATGGCGAGATGGCGAGATGGCGAGGGATACCATGGGGATGTCATGATGTTGTCACGGGCTAATGTATTTGATGACGATATTTCATGGAAATTTCATGGAAATTTCATGGAAATTTCATGGAAATTTCATGGAAATTTCATGGAATAGTAGTTAGATGTACTTAGATGTAGTTAGATGTAGTTAGTACCTGTCAACGGAGTCGTAGTTGGAAAACAAGAGCCCTCAGCTTTTCAGCATGTTTTTTGCTTTTTTATTTTTTTTTGCGAACCGAGCTCTTGCTACAGCTTCGTGCATATTTTTCTGACCTCATTTTCCAAACTTGTCCCCACGATGCCGTGAGAAGAGCATGTTTGACAAACATCGAACTCTCCCTTCAGTCTCGTGCACTATTTCTGCCAGCTTTTAAAACACAGTGATTCGCGCACGTCCATCCTTTCAACTCGCACGCTCCTGACTTTTACTGTGCTCCAATGTTTCCACTTCTCAACTACTGTTGCTACCATCTTGGTTGCCACGATGATGTGAAAACTGGCCATAGACATTCCTTCGCAACTCCGAAGCTTGCTAACTAAAGTTCCTTTGAACAATCATTTTCCCATCGCAACTTGCAGTTTTGGAGTACCCATTTCAGACAGATCCAAATCATATACGTTACTTGCTGGTGTATCCCCATTGTATCCCAAGTTGGTTGCCTTTTTTTGATGGTTTGATCCCAAATTTTGCAGATCAAACTTAACTATACTTTGATTAAAATCCATTGTATCCCAGGTCAGTAACGTCAAATTAAAGGACCGGATAACCCCACATGTCAACTTCTTCCAGTAAGTCGCAAAAGAAAGGTGAAGACAGGATGGGAAAGGCAGGAAAGAGACAGGAGATGGTGGAAGACAGATCGAGTGAGAGAGTTCTGTGTGAGAAGGTTTATACTATGTATTTGAAAAAGTATGTGTGAGTTCTTTGGAGATGGTGGAAGGCAGATTGTGTGAAAAAGGTACGTATGAGAGACTTGCGTGTGTGAGAGAGTTGCTTGTGAGAAGGTTGTGTGTGAGCAAGTTGTGTGTGAGAAAGTGTGTGTGACTTGCGTGGAGATGGTGGAAGACAGATTGTGTGAAAGAGGTGCGTATGAGAGAGTTGCGTGCGAGAGAGCTGTGGGGGTCAGTTGTGTGTGAGAGCGTTGTGTGTGAAAGAGTTGTGTGTGAAATGGCTGTGTGGCATGTGTGGCCAAAGACAGTTTCGCCAAGACCATAGAGGGCGGTCTTCCCGGCAACTTCTTGTCTTGGCTGCAAAACAATTAATTATCGCCGACAGACTGCTGCCCGGACTGTCATGAAAACTGACGGTCCATCGCAAGTGTCTGCGGCAGGCAAAGGGTTGCTTTTCCGCACGCGCATCAAAGCAACCACTTGCCACGTAGTGACGGGAGCACGTGCACGATGAGGACGGAAAGGAACCCTGCCACACAAAATGAAGGTCGATGTCACCGAATGCCACGTGTGCCACACAGAATGGAGGTGGATGCTTCCAAACGCCACGCCCGCCACAAAAACAGGCGCGGCGACAATGGGAACAAAGCGCGCCACAAGAGCCAGCCCAGTGCCATAAGCGGGACGCCTGCCACACAAAGTGAAGGTCAATGTCGCCAAGTGCCACGCCTGCCACACAGAATGGAGGTCGATGCTTCCAAATGCCACGTCTGCCACACAAACAGCCGCGGCGACAACGGGAACAAAGCGCGCCACCAGAGCCAGCCCAGTGCCACAAGTGCCACACCTGCCACACAAAGTGAAGGCCGATGTCACCGAATGCCACGCGTGCCACACAAAATGGATCCTTCCACATGCCACGTCTGCCACACAAACAGGCGCGGCGACAACGGGAATCAAACGCGCCACCAGAGCCAGCCCAGTGCCATAAGTGCCACGCCTGCCACACAAAGTGAATTCCGATGTCGCCAAGTGCCGCACCTACCACACTGAATGGAGGTCGATGCGTCCAAATGCGACAAACAGCCGCGGCGACAACGGGAACCAAGCGCGCCACAAGAGCCAGCCCAGTGCCAAAATTGCCACGCCTGCCACAAAGTGAAGGTCGATGTCGCCAAGTGCCACGCTTGCCACACAGAATGTGGATGCTTCCAAGTGCCACACCCGCCAGACAAACAGCCGCGGCGAGAAACGGGAACCAAGCGCGCCACCAGAGCCAGCCCAGTGCCATAAGCGGGACGCCTGCCACACAAAGTTTGTGTGTGGGAGAGTTGTGTGTAAGAGAGTTGTGTGTGAGCAAGTTGTGTGTGATAGGGCTGTGTGTGATAGGGCTGTGTGTGAGAGAGTTGTGTGTGAGGGAGTTGTGTGTGAGAGAGTTGTGTGTGAGCAAGTTGTGTGTGAGAGAGTTGTGTGTGAGAGAGTTGTGTGTGGGGGAGTTGTGTGTTGAGTAAGTTGTGTGTGAGAGAGTTGTGTGTGAGGGAGTTGTGTGTGAGAGAGTTGTGTGTGAGAGAAGGAAGGCGACGGACGGACGGGACACGGACGGGAGTGCCCAACCAAAAACAAGAACCCCACACAAAGATTTGGGGAAAAATGGGTAACATGCCAACAAATGCTATCAACCACATTGCCGGAAGAGTTTGTCAGGCAGACTTTCAGAAGATCTCTGGGCTGAAGAAAGGCGATGCCATGTATCAGGCTGACACGTCCCGGTGTTCCAAATCGCCATTGGTTGATTAGTGTGGTAGACAGACGCATTTGGGTCGTGTTCAAAACCCTGTTGGTTGATTTTAAAAGGCAATACTACCTTTTTATATATTGGGGGGTTGTCATCCATGAACTGTGACCCACGTTTTTAATCAACAGAAAGATATGGGGGGCTGGGGTGGTGGTGGGGAGGGGGAGGTGGGTGGAGGTATGTTGTCTCTATGACGTATCAGATGTGTATGCTATAAACGAGAGAGAGAGAGATCTATATATGTTACATATGTAAATAAATAAATATATATATATGTCTATATTTGTTTTTGTATGATATATATATATATACACATACCAAAGGTTATAACATATAAAATAAAATAAAATAATACAATATAAGATAATACCAGTAGTACCCGCACGAGGCGGGGCGGAAGTTGCCTTAGGGATATATATAAGACCGTTCTCGTCTATAGAACTTGCATGCTCCGTGCGCCAGCCAGGCCCGTGCGTGCGTGCTTTGTGCGAAGCTGTTGCAGTGTTGCTGTCCAAGAACATGACCTGCGCGTGGCCCCGGTGCAATGCAAACACTTTCCTCACACTTCACATTGCACTCTTCACACCCCACACTCCACACTTCACACTTGCACTTCATCCCAACTCATCTTATCTGAGCTCTTCTCATCTCATTCCATGTCTTCCCATATGTCAGCTAAGTTATTTCTTGGCTATTTTCATGTCAAGTACTTCCCAGTACTGATGTCTACTACAAAAGCTTGCAAAACGTACTTCCCAGTACTACTTTGTACTACAAAGCTTGCACAAAGTATTTCCCACTACTTTTAAAGGAAGCTTGCAAAAAGAAAGCTTTTACACACAGCAAGTTCTTTCGCAGAGAAGCTTTTACACACAGCAAACTTTTTAAACAGAGAAGCTTTTACACCCAGAAGCTTTTACACACAACAAGCTTTTACACAGAGAAGCTTTTACACACAGCAAGCTTTCACACACACAGCAAGCGTTTACACAGAACACTTACACACAGTGCTTTTACACATGGCAAGCGTTTACACACAGAAACTTTTGCACAAAGATGCTTTTACACACAGAGAAGCTTTTACACACAGCAAGCATTTACACACAACAAGCTTTTACACACAGCAAGCTTTCACACACAGCAAGCGTTTACACACAGAACACTTACACACAGTGCTTTTACACATGGCAACCGTTTACACACACAGAAACTTTTACACTGAGACGCTTTTACAAACAGAGAAGCTTTTACACGCAGCAAGCTTTTACACACAAAATCTTTTACACGCAGCAAGCGCTTTATCACAACAGGAATTGCAGCTCCAAGACCGGATCTCGACGCCAAAGCAACAAAACCACGATTTTTGAAGCACTTTTTAAAAGGAATTTTTAAACGAAAATTACTAGCGCCAAAATTGAAAAATCTGCTGACAAATCACTGTCGCAGCCTTGATGCAGACACTCCAATACTATTTACGAGATCCAGCTGCAAAAGACAATAGTATTACGCATGCAGCCGCGGCGCGAAGCAACTTTGACGCAGCCATTACATTGCGATCTGCAGAGACTGACTTGCAAAACACAATAGAACTTCGCGCAACGGCGTCGGAAATTGCAGCTCCAAAACCGGATTTCGACGCCACAGCGACAAAAAGACGATTTTGCAGCACTTTTTAAAAGAACTTTTAAAAGGAAAATTACTAGTGCCAAAATTGAGAAAATCTGCTGACAAATCATTGTCGCAGCCTTGATGCAGCCATTCCAATACTATTTACGAGATCCAGCTGCAAAAGACAATAGTATTACGCATGCAGCCGCAGCACCAAGCAACCTTGACGCAGCCACTACAATGCGATCTGCAGAGACTGAGTTGCAAAGCACAAAAGAACTACGCGCAACAGCGTCTGCAATTGCAGCTCCAAAACCGGATTTCGACGCCACAGCGACAAAAAGACGATTTTGAAACACTTTTTAAAAGAACTTTTACAAGGAAAATTACTAGCGCCCAAATTGAGAAAATCTGCTGACAAATCGTTGTCGCAGCCTTGATGCAGCCATTCCAATACTATTTACGAAATCCAGCTGCAAAAGACAATAGTATTAAGCATGCAGCCGCAGTACCAAGCAACCTTGACGCAGCCACTACAATGCGATCTGCAGAGACTGAGTTGCAAAGCACAACAGAACTACGCGCAACAGCGTCAGCAATTGCAGCTCCAAAACCGGATGGATTTCGACGCCACAGCGACAAAAAGACGATTTTGCAGCACTTTTTAAAAGAACTTTTAAAAGGAAAATTACTAGTGCCAAAATTGAGAAAATCTGCTGACAAATCATTGTCGCAGCCTTGATGCAGCCATTCCAATACTATTTACGAAATCCAGCTGCAAAAGACAATAGTATGACGCATGCAGCCGCGGTACGAAGCAACCTTGACGCAGCCATTACAATGCGACCTGCAGAGACTGACTGAGTTGGAAAACGCAAACTACGTGCAACGGCATCGGAAACTGCAACTCCAAGACCGGATGGATCTCGACGCCAAAGCAGAAAAAAGACGATTTTGAAACACTTTTTAAAAGGAATTTTAAAAGAAAAATTACTAGCGCCAAAATTGCGAAAATCTGCTGACATCAATCTCGCAACCCCGAATCTCCCTCCGCACATAACAACACCAAATGACAACAATCATGCAGCCATTCCAATGCGATCTGCCACCACAACTTCAAGAAACGCATAGAACTACGCACACAGGAACAACCACTCTTTGCAAAACACATAGAAGGAAACATTCGCGACAGAAACGACCGCAGCCGCAACCGCCGCACAGACGAGGTACCTTTCATCGCCGGCTGCAACCATTTTACACGGAAAAACAAGGTTTCGTGCTCCGGCTTCCTCCCCAAAACATAGCCCATGCAACATTCATGCAGCCATTACAATGCGTTTCGCAGCATCCCGTAGCAAACCTGCACCTATCTACGCACGTGGCAACATCAATGTTCCAATGGCGGAACAACCACTCTTTGCAAAACACATAGAAGGAACCATTCGCGACAGAAACGACCGCAGCCGCAACCACCGCACATACGAGGTACCTTTCATCGTCGCCTGCAGCCACTTTACACGGAAAAACACAAGGTTTCGTGCTCCGGCTTCCTCCCCAAAACATAGCCCATGCAACATCATGCAGCCATTACAATGCGTTTCGCAGCATCCCGTAGCAAACCTGCACCTATCTACGCACGTGGCAACATCAGATGACGACAATCAAGCAGCCATTCCAATGCAATCTGCCACCACAGCTTCAAGAAACGCATAGAACTACACACACAGGAACAAGCACTCTTTGCAAAACACATAGAAGGAACCATTCGCGGCAGAAACGACCGCAGCCGCAACCGCCGCACAGACGAGGTACCTTACATCGCCGGCTGCAGCCATTTTACACGGAAAAACGCAAGGTTTCGTGCTCCGGCTTCCTCCCCAAAACATAGCCCATGCAACATTCATGCAGCCATTACAATGCGTTTCGCAGCATCCCGTGGCAAACCTGCACCTATCTACGCACGTGGCAACATCAAATGACGACAATGAAGCAGCCATTCCAATGCGCAACCAGCCGCATAGAACTATCGTTGCAAAACACATAGATTCGCGCACGACCGCAGCCGCATCGCACAGACGAGGTACCATCGCCGGCTGCAGCCATTTACACGGAAAAACACAAGGTTTCGTGCTCCGGCTTCCTCCCCAAAACATAGCCCATGCAACATTCATGCAGCCATTACAATGCGTTTCGCAGCATCCCGTAGCAAACCTGCACCTATCTACGCACGTGGCAACATCAGATGACGACAATCAAGCAGCCATTCCAATGCAATCTGCAACCAGAGATTCCAGAACCACATAGAACTACGCACGCAGACGCAACCACTCGTTGCAAAACACATAGAAGGAACCAATTCGCGCATGAAACGACGGCAGCCGCAACCGCCGCACACATGAGGTACCTTTCATCGCCGGCTGCAGCCACTTTACACGGAAAAACACAAGGTTTCGTGCTCCGGCTTCCTCCCCAACTCACCGCTTGCCTTCGTCACCGCTTCCCTTCCTCACCACTTCCCGTCGTCACCACTTCCCATCATCACCACCTCGCTTCGTCACCACTTCCCTTCCTCACCACTTCCCATCGTCACCACTTCCCATCGTCACCACCTTCCTTCGCCCACTTCCCTTCCTCACCACTTCCCATCGTCCCCGCCTCCCTTCCTCACCACTCCCCTTCATCACCACTTCCCTTCGTCACCACTTCCCTCCCTCACCACTTCCCATCGTCACCACTTCCCATCGTCACCACCTCCCTTCGTCACCACCCTGTGTCATAGCTTCCTTATTCTATGTGATGTACCACCCTTCATCAAGGTCAATTCCATAGATTCTTATTCTTTTGTTATGTATTGTTTTGTTATGTATTGTGATGTGATGTACCACCCTTCATCAAGGTCAATTCCACCGCTTCTTATTGTTTTGTTGTGTATTGTTATGTTATGTATTGTTAGATCACGTACCACCCTTCATCAAAGTCAATTCCATCAAGTGAAAGTCATTCGTAACTCGGAAGTATTGCTTCCCAACTTCCTTTGATAATATAATATAGTATAATATAATATATAAAAAATATAATATAATATGATATAGTATAATTTAATATAAAAGATAAATAAAATATAATACAGTGTAATATAACATAATAAAATGTAATGTAACATATGATACTATAACAAAATATACTATAACATAGTATATTCATGTGATTTTGGGCGCCCGATTTGAGGCCCCCTTTTTCTTTTGCCTGTGAGTTTACATTCATTTTGCTTTTGGAAAAGAAATTTGTGAGGGATACGCATGGATGGGAAGAAACCCTGGGCACTTCGGTCAGCGTGCTCTTTTGTTAGAATCAGGTAGTGTAATAGTTTCTCCGCATGACTAGGATCATGTTAACCTGACTTGGGGTCTACATGTAAAAAACACGTAACGTAACGTTCCCTGTGCATGAAAACATTTTTTTTGTTAATGTAGTGCAACAGCCGGTGCACACGTGACAGGCATGTAGGGTAACATGCATGAAAACGGATCTGACCTTATTGCCCCCTCAACCCCTCACCCCCACCTCAAATATGCTAACATGATGGACATCGAAAAACGTCAAAACGCTAGCGTGGTTTTCTCTCTGCTGGCATATACATGTACATAGGATTCAGACATTTCAGTATTCATATATACCGTACCTGTTTATTTGTATATACAAAGGCATATACATATATGCATGCATATACGCCGGGACGTGCCGGAATTTGTCCTCATGAAAGCATCGTTTTTTCAATGAGGCTGGCTTTTGGCGAACGTGTTGAAAAGGCCAAAAGCGGAAGCCAAACGATTGATGGAATTCACGTTTTGCCACAGTGCCAGCGTCTCTTCATCGGCCTCATGAGCGGCACAACAAGAAACAATTTTCGAGAGTATACAGAGGATACGTTTCAAGGTCTAATATAATATAAGTTAACATAAAATAAAAAATATAACGAAAAGTAATCTAATATAATATAGTAAAAAATGTTTTTTTCAAATATTTAACAAAACATATTTTTTTGATATACCATAATATAATACAATGTAATTTGTAATGGAACATAATATAATATATTGTTTAAAATAACAAAATTTCATTTGACATAATATAACATAATATAGTAAAATATGATATATCGTATAGCATAGAATAGAAAAGAATAAAATAGAATAAAACAGAACAGAATAGAACAACATACAATGTAACATATAATATAACATAAAATATATCAAAATATAATGTAATATAATCAGATTCAATAAAATTTAATTTAAATAATTTAATTTAATATAATGTGATTTGATATAGTTTTTTCATTTCATATAAAATAGAATAAATCAAGATAATATAGTGCAAGATGATTTAATATAGTACAATATAACATAAGATAATATATAATATAATGTAATTTATAACCTATTTTAGTACAATATAACATAATATAGCTCAATTTAATATAATTTAAAAAATGGTTTTAAAAAATATAATATAATATATTTTTCATTTATATACCGTATAGTATAATATCATATAATTTAAAATAATACAGTGTATAAAAGAGAATAAAGTAGAATGAAATAGAACAAAAAAGAAAAATATAGAATAACCTTTGCAAACAAAGAATAAAATAAAGTAACATTAAATATAACATAATATAATGTAATATAATCTAGTTTCATAGAATATAATTTAATATAATATAATTTGATTTGATTTATTATTCTATTTAACTTAAAAAATGGAATAAAATAAAAAACAATAAAATATTTAAAATAACATAATATAACATAATATGATATAATATAATATAATAATACAGTATAATATAATATAATATGATATAATATAATATAATATGATATAATATGATTTAATATAATATAATATAATATAATATAATATATATAATATAATGTGCTCGTGGGGTGGGGGGATCACGGTACGTATGGAGTATACAGACTGTCTTTAGGTAAGATATGGGTAGTTCAAAGGTACGATATAGAAGCGTGTGCTCAGTTTCTTAATATAATATGCAGGAATCATAAGTTAAATTAAACAGATGTAGTGTTGCGGGATTTTATAGGTGTAAATGGGAAGTGGATACGCCGCATATGAGGCAGTATATGTACTATGTAGGTCGTTTAAAAGGATTAAAATGTAGCATATACCTACTGAATTCAGAGGCTGGAGGTCAGAAATGCTGCAAATAATTAGCTAGTAGATACGAGGCTCAAGATAGAAGGGCCTGCGATGCTACCTGGGGACCCATACCATTGGGGGGGACCAGCAACAGGGAACACGTAACCATATACATAGAGTTTTCCCCTTGCAACAGCCAATGGTAGATGATAATAGCTACTATACCGAACAGGCCCTTCTATTTTTCGTAAACAATCAACATTGTTCATCACGACATTTCAAGAGAAATCAGCAGGACTGGGCTTGCACGTCGGACACTGATGACACAGATTCATCAGACCAAGAGAGCCAGGCTGGGATGTATGGGATGACGTTCCGTCGTTCTTGGAATGTGACTTTTGAAATTTAATGGAACAAATTAAAGATCTTCCTGTGTCGTATATCTTTGAAAGATAACTTCGAACATCTTCAGACTACGTATCTTAAATTTTTCCCTTTTCGACCTCGTGACAATCGCGAGGTCGGCCTCCCGTCGTCGCAGCCATTACCAGCAGTGAGGGCAAAGGCAAAGGCGAAGGCCAAGACCAAGGTGCCGAGATTCCGATTTTCAGCAGATTTTTTGTGGTTTTTCAATGCTTTTCAGATGTACATGTATGATACACAAATACAGACCTAGAACCTTGAAAGCGTGCAAAACTATTGCTCTTTTGGAATTATGTGATATTTTTCTGAAGCGGCACTTTTTCTGGCTGCGAGCACTTTTCTGGTCGAATTGATTTTTCAGAAATTGACAGTTTACATGAGTCTTATTGCTCCAACGGACCTTCTGAGCTCCAGAGAGTGCTACCTGATTTCGTTTGCGCCCTTTTTTGTGCCTGGTATTGTCAATATCTAGTTTTTGATTGGTTGGCTGTCTGGAATGATTGTGCACGAACGTTCCAGCATTATTAATGAAACGCATGTCTCATGAATGTAATATTGAAAAACATGAAAAATATTGAAAACCGACGAGCCTCATTCGAATAGTTTGGCTTTAAGAAACCGGAGAATGTTCTTGAACTCTGAGAGTGCAACAAAGTTTTGTCAAATTGCGTGGCAGTCAGCATGTTCTACATCCTGTTCCTATGAGGGTGAAGGGTCAGGGTCAAGAGCAGAATTCCACGAAACGACTTTTTTTTTTCCTGAAACGACTTGAATTTCCTGAAGCGACCAAAATTATTGCATTTTCACGAAACGCCCAAACAAAAGCAGACCATGAGGATGTAGGTATACATGTACAACATGTACAAATACAATCAAATACATGCATATACAAATGTAGTATATACATTGAAATATACACATATTGATCTAAATCTACATTTGTATCTACATATACATATACATCCTAGTGGGGAAATTTTCGCGCTCTTCAACCAAACATATGTTTCACCACATCGCCAAGCTGATTTGGCAATCTGATATTCATGTGATTTTGGGCGCCCAATTTGAGGTCCCCTTTTTCTTTTGCCTGTGAGTTTACATTCATTTTGCTTTTGGAAAAGAAATTTGTGAGGGATACGCATGGATGGGAAGAAACCCTGGGCACTTCGGTCAGCGTGCTCTTTTGTTAGAACCATGTAGTGCAATAGTTTCTCCGCATGACTAGGATCATGTTAACCTGACTTGGGGTCTACATGTAAAAAACAAGTAACGTAACGTTCCCTGTGCATGACATTTATTTTTGTTAATGTGAAATGGTGTTGCAAGTAAGAAACTTGTAGTGCAACAGCAGGTGCACATGTGACAAGCATGTAGGGTAACATGCATGAAAGCGGATCTGACCTTATTGCCCCCCCAACCCCTCACCCCCACCTCAAATATGCTAACATGATGGACATCGAAAAACGTCAAAACGCTAGCGTGGTTTTCTCTCTGCTGGCATATACATGTACATAGGATTCAGACATTTCAGTATTCATATATACCGTACCTGTTTATTTGTATATACAAAGGCATATACATATATGCATACATATACACCGGGACGTGCCGGAATTTGTCCTCATGAAAGCATCGTTTTTTCAATGAGGCTGGCTTTTGGCGAACGTGTTGAAAAGGCCAAAAACGGAAGCCAAACAATTGATGGAATTCACGTTTTGCCACAGTGCCAGCGTCTCTTCATCGGCCTCATGAGCTGCACAACAAGAAACCATTTTTGAGAGTATACAGAGGATACGTTTCAAGGTCGATGGTTTTTCTCTGCTATTGAAACCGTGGTTTTGAGAAGAATCAACCTAGTTGGAATTTGTTTCAGCAAATTAGCGGCGTAGTATCAAGAAGAACATAGTTGGAATTTATTGGAGAGACTCAGTATAGCGGAGCGTAGCACCAACAACGTAGTTGGAAATTGAGGGAAAAACTCAGAGGGTAGTGCCAACAACGTACTTGGAAGCAATTGGACAAACTACGTAGCGTAGTGTCAGTTGATCTCAGTTGTTTTTTTGAAGAACCAGGGGCTCTTTCCAATGGCGCTGGGAGTTTTTCGGCCAAAGCTCTGAAAGATGGAAGCAGCATCATCCTGCTGTGGCCAAACCGCAATCTCCATCCGTTTCTGCCGCCGGGGTATAAATACATGTACATTTACATAGATCGATGCAAATATGAAAATCAATATACACATATACAGATACATATACAGATAGATTTACGCATAGTATACGCATAAATATGCACATACACATTTTCATGTATATACATTGCAAACAAACAGACTACAATAACATTTACATGTAAATACATGTACACTTTCATATACAAATAAAGCGACAAATGCCATCACATATACATGTAAATGTGCACATATTTTTTAACAAACTGCTTTACATCTACATTCACACAGACACATTTCCCCATGGACACGTAAAAAGATGCATATTTGTACTGAAACACATCCCAGCATTTATACATACAGAAACACTTGCAGGTACCTTGTCGTCATTTTCCTTACATACTTACATATTGAAATATTTACACATTTAAATATTTTCATATGTTTCAAATAGATAACTTCACATGTAGACATATGCATCAAATTCACATTTGGTATCCCTCAAAAAATGGTTCTCTCAACGAAATCATTGATTCTTCAGAGTTCTTAGACTTCGACGATCCATGTCCGCGGCGCAAGGTCAAGGCCAAGAAGGCCAAGAAGGCCAAGAAGGCCAAGAAGGCCAAGAAGGCCAAGAAGGCCAAGAAGGCCAAGAAGGCGAAGGCCAAGAAGGTTGAACTGAATCCCAACGAGCTCAAGCACATGTTCAAAAAAACCTTTGAGACACTCTGGTTGACATGGAAATGCAATAAGAAATGGAATCAGAATGAATATCATATGTTGAAATGAAGGCGAACATGCCACAGGGGATGTTGGGACAATCTTCAATCATTCGTCAAAACTTGAATGAGTTGAAGTTTGCAAAATAAATCCAATCATCCAATCGTTTTGGGCTTTGATCATGGGTTTGTCTGAAAACAGGGTACCGCATTCCGTCCATAGGCCAACCATCATTCTCAATTAAATTCCCGGTGCGTTCGTGTCTCCGTCTTTTTTCCGACGCACCCAAATCAAAAAAATGTTGGCCAATTACGCCCCATCAATCCCACCACAATATCCGGATTATAGTTGCAACTCTACCCTTTTGATCCCTTTAATCTCAACATTGCATCACCATGGAATTTGATCAATGGTATACCCACAACGTCCACATCGATGTCCCTTTTACATCCTCACTATAGTTGGTTATACACCTTTCATTTTTCTCTCCATTATCAAAGGAAGTTTTGAAGTCCAAACTCCGCTATACGGAAAATATGGCAGGGAAGCGAATAGTAGTATGAGAGTAGGGAAGGAAAGAGAGTCGGGAAGTGAAGAGAGCCGAGAAGTGATGAGAGTAGGGAGGTAAAGAGAGTAGAGATGTCTAGAGAGTAGGGAAGCGAAGAGAGAGGGAGTGGGGAAGTGAAGAGGGTTGGGAAGGGAAGAGAGAAGGGAAGTGAAGAGACGAGGGAAGTGAAAAAGTAGGGAAGGTCAGAGAGTAGGGAAGTGAAGAGGGTAGAGAAGGGAAGAGAGTAGGGCTATCGTGATTTGCAAGGCGGTGATTCCAGATCGCGGTGGAATTGCTTCGTCCAGGTGAGGCTTGAACGTTAGGAACCGCATGAAACCCTATGTTTTCTGGCAGAAAGTACGTCTCGGTGTTGATGTGGGGAACCTTAGTTGTGCGACGGGTGCCGTCTTCGCTTGTTTTGTTGTCGGACGCGTCCTACAGCGCAAAGTTGAATTCAGGCATGCCGATTGCGGCTTGTCGATGCAGTTCTATGGTGATTAAGCAATGATTGCAGATCGCAATGGGGTTGCTTCGTCCAAGTGACGCTTGAAGGCGAGGAATCGCACAAAACCTCAAGCTTTGTAGCACCAAGTAGTACTGGGAAGTACATTGTGCAAGCTTTGTAGTACTTAGTACAATTTAGTATTGGGAAGTGCCTTTTGCAAGCTTTGTAGTGCAAAGTAGTACTGGGAAGTAATTTGTGTAGTACTTGGAAGTATTTGTGCAGCTTCGTAGTACGAAGTAGTACCGGAAAGTATTCAGTGCAAGCTTCGTAGTACGAAGTAGTACTGTGGGAAGTTCTTCGTGCAAGGAAGCTTCGAAGTCAAACTTCCGACAGTAGGGACAGATGAAGCAGTGGAGGTGGGAAGAACCAGGGAAGAGAAGGGAAGAAGAAAGAAGATCAGAGAAGAGAAAAGTCAGAAGAAAGAAGATCCAGGCGCACGAAAAGATAGAAAAGTCGCGAAACACTGTGTTTTTCCAATGTGTTAATGTGTTGTGGCTCTGGAGGTTCGAAAAGTAGGCTCGCTAAAGTGGCGGGTGTGGAGCCATCTGTTCATCTGAGCGATGAAAAATTGCACGCCGTTGTGGCGCGAAGCACATTTTGAAGTAAAAATGCTAAAAGCACCTGGTTGTCGGAGCACTTTTGGAAGTTAAGATGTTGAAAAAGTGCACGCGACTGTGGCGCGAAGGACATTTGGAAGTAAACATTGCCAAAACACACGCCATGTTCGGACCACTTTTGGGCGCACAGAAAAAGGCGCACGCAGTTGTGGTGCGAAGCATGTTTGCAACTCAAAAGCGTTGAGAAAGAGAAAGAGAAAGAGAGAGAGAGAGAGACATAGAGGGATAGGTGGTTAGACAGGCAAACAGATAGGTAGAGAGAGAGAGAGGAGAGAGAGAGAGAGAGAGATAGAGATAGAGAGAGATAGAGAGACAGAGACAAAGAGAGATACGGAGATTGAGACAGATGGACAGAGAGAGGGAGAACTGCAAAGATAGTGAAAGCAAAGAAGATCGATGTTGCTACGTGGATCCTGGCGTCAGATAGCTGGTTAGCTAGTTAGTTCGTTGGTTAGTTCGTTGGTTAGTTGATTTAGTTTAGAGTTTAGTTTAGTTTAGTTTAGTTCAGTTTAGTTTAGTTTAGTTTAGTTTAGTTCAGTTTAGTTTAGTTTAGTTTAGTTCAGTTTAGTTTAGTTTAGTTAGTTAGCTAGCTAGGTTAGTTAGTTAGTTAGTTTAGTTTAGTTTAGTTTGGTTTAGTTTAGTTTAGTTTAGTTTGTTAGTTACTTTAGTACTTTAGTTAGTTAGTTAGTTAGTTGGTTAGTTGGTTAGTTAGTTAGTTAGTTAGTTAATTAGTTAGTTAGTTAGTTAGTTAGTTAGTTTAGTTTCTTAGTTACTTTAGTACTTGAGTTAGTTAGTTAGTTAGTTGGTTGGTTGGTTAGTTAGTTAGTTAGTTAGTAAGTGCGTTAGTTAGTTAGTTAGTTAGTTAGTTAGTTAGTTAGTTAGTTAGTTAGTTAGTTAGTGTTAGTTAGTAGTTAGTTAGTTAGTTAGGTAGTTAGTTAGTTAGTTAGTTTTAGTTAGTTAGTTAGTTAGTTAGTTACTTAGTTAGTTAGTTGGTTGGTTAGTTAGTTAGTTGGTTGGTTAGTTAGTTAGTTAGCTCGTTAGTTAGTTCGTTCGTTAGTTCGTTCGTTAGTTAGTGAATTAGTTAGTTAGTTAGTTAGTTAGTTAGTTAGTTAGTTAGTTAGTTAGTTAGCTCGTTAGTTAGTTAGTTCGTTAGTTCGTTAGTTCGTTAGTTCGTTAGTTCGTTCGTTCGTTAGTTAGTTAGATTGTTAGTTTGAAAGTTAGGTAGTTAGTTAGTTAGTTAGTTAGTTAGTTAGTTAGTTAGAGTTAATTAGTTAGTTAGTTAGTTAGTCAGTCAGTCAGTTAGTTAGTTAGTTAGTGAGTGACTTAGTTAGTTGGTTAGTTTAGTTTAGTTTAGTTTAGTTTAGTTAGTTACTTTAGTACTTTAGTACTTTAGTTAGTTAGTTAGTTAGTTAGTTAGTTTAGTTAGTTAGTTTAGTTTGGTTTAGTTTAGTTTAGTTTAGTTTAGTTTGTTAGTTACTTTAGTACTTGAGTTAGTTAGTTAGTTAGTTAGTTAGTCAGTTAGTTAGTTAGTTAGTTGGTTGGTTAGTTGGTTAGTTGGTTAGTTGGTTAGTTGGTTAGTTGGTTAGTTGGTTAGTTGGTTAGTTAGTTAGTTAGTTAGTGAGTGAGTGAGTGAGTGAGTGAGTTAGTTAGTTAGTTAGTTTGTTAGTTAGTTAGTTAGTTAGTTAGCGTTAGGTAGTTAGTTAGTTAGGTAGTTAGTTAGTTAGTTAGTTAGTCAGTTAGATAGAGAGATGGATGGACACATAGACAAACAGACAGATAGATCGTTAGATAGATAGCTAGATAGTCAGAAACCCAGATGTTCAGATAGACAGAAAAACAGGTAGACAGACAGATAGATAGCCAGATAGATACAGAGGTAGGTAGATAAATAGAGAGAGACACTCAGAGCCTCAGCCTCACCCGCTTTTGGATCCATGCCTCGCAGCAACTCACCTCTCCTTTTTGTAGTACGATGTAGGGACGTACTTGGTGCGAGCTTTGTAATGCGATTTAGTACCGGGAAAGGCTTTTTTGCAAGTTTTGTAGGACAAAGTAGTACCGGGAAGTAATTTGTGCAAGTCTTCGACGAAGTAGTACTCGGAAGCGCTTCGCGCAAACTTTGTAGTACGAAGTAGTACTTGGAGTATTGTGTGCAAGCTTCGTAGTACGAAGTAGTACTTGGATGTAAGCTTCGTAGTACGAGGTAGTACTTGGAAGTACTTTGTGCAAGCTTGGTTGTACGAAGTAGTACCTTGAAATTCAAGAGAAAAGGGATGCCAGGAGAGAAAGATGCCAAGAGAAAGACATGAGAATGAACATCCACCTCAAGACAAAGGAAGGTCCCAAGGGAAGGCAATTTTGACAGAAAGAGGTTTCAAACAAAAAGGGATGTAAAAACAAAAATCATACACATGTGTCAAGAAAAAACGTGTCAAGAGAATGGGGTGTTGAGAGAAGGAAGTGTCAAGAGAAGAAGGTCTCAAGAGAAAGAGATGCCAAAAGATAGGGATGCCAAGAGAAAGAGACGTCAACGGACAGCGGCTGAAAAGACATGGGTGTCCAGAGACAGCCATGACATCAGAAAAGCATTGTCAGAAGCGAAGGGTGTCAGGCCTCGGGCTTCATGGAAACACGAAGGGCTGTCAAAATTCAGAGATGCCATTGAAACTATCGTCGCCCGCTTGCAAGGGCTCTACTTGTATCCCCATTAAGTTGGGAAATTCTGTGCAAAAAAAACGCCTATTCCCCATTAGGTTGTTGCGTCTACCTTTGTTTGTTTTTTCGGCCCCTTCTTTGTTTGCAATTGCCCCAGCCCAGGACGGAAGATTTCAACTTCTTGATTTGCACCTTCGCGATATACCGGGAATGCCTTCGATGTGAGAAAAAGAAAAATGCTTCCTGTGGCCTTCCAGAACCTGAAAATGTCTTGCAGCAGTTCCGAAGCGACAGTTGATGAGGTTGATTGATGTGTAATTTTTTCCCCGTATTTTTAAACGTACTACCCCAAATATAAAACCTAGGGTCCGTTTCTTTTTAGGTTGGCCAGTTTGATTTTTAATTGCGCGCCCCAAGGATAGAAACTAGTTAGCCGCGGGATGTTTTTTCCCGAATGCGTGGCGAAGGGTCCTTGTTTTACTTCGAAGGTTCAAGTTTAAATAGATCTTCAGCAAACAATTTCTTTGTACGACAGTTTGGATACGGAATGCCATGGGGTGGAGTGGGAAGTACAAGCAACAAATATGATATTGGAATTTTGTGCAAGATGGAGAAAAAAACATCAGGGGCATTTATAGGCCATATATCGCCAACAAATTTTGTTGGTAATACCCTGACATTGCAATAAACACGCCGTATGGGTATTATAACAAGGAAGAGGATAACACCACCAGCAACAACCAATAATGGGGGGACTGAACAAGACACAGTGGAACATCAAAAGAATATGCTGCGTATTCATTTATACCTATATAACTTATGTAGTGGAAGGTAAACAACAGTATGATGAAAACAACATGGAAATTTCCGGAGAAAAAAGGAAGGAATGGTTACCCACAAAACGGTGTGAATTGACATACGTATAAACAAATCTATTTCTATATAATGCATTTGGTTGTGTCCAAAAATCCCCTGGTTTGTTGCCCAGATCCTTCTTTTTGTTTGAAACCATCACCTGACGTGTAAGCTGGGTTGGGAAATCATGGCCATCTCCGTATTTCCCTTTCTACTTTTTGAGAGGACACCCACTTCTTGATCGAAATATTTAATGGGTGCATTTCACCAACCCGCCTCCCATTTCGGTGACCCTCCAAGGATGGTCCCCCTTGAGCCCTAGGAATTGCCAATTGTTAAGGTTCCCCAACAAGAGAAACCATTGTTATCAATGGGGTTCACCTTTTAATAAAGAAATGCACCGCAAAAAAAAAACATACCCCCAAAAAGATCTCATTATATCCCATTTTCAACACAGATGATGATTGGCTTGTACAGTCCCTTTCTCGACATTTAGCCAAGGGGTTGGTAGGTCATTTGATTCGAGGTTCCAAGATGTTATCAAAGACGTGGAGGAGAGCGCCAAAATGCGCCTGCTGCAGATGGTGAATCTGAAGTTCCGGCCCAAGGGGAAAAAACATCAGGCTGGGCGCTGGCACATTGTGGCTTTCACGGGAAAATCATGGAGATTGAACAACTTTTGGCAAATGTCTAAGCATCAAGAATATGGGGACATAGTTAATGAATGTTCAAATCCTTTGGCGATTGGCTTTTTTGATGGTCTTTAATGGACATTCAATTTTCGTTTGAATAACCGTCTTAACCATCAACAGATGTGGATATATTCTGTTTGATTGATGATGACCCGCAGTTGACACTACCGAATCCGTTGGGGATGATAACTATCCATTGCGGGAAGTAATAAGAACCAACCAGTATAATGACAGAGAAATTTGAACAATGTTGATTCGCACAAGTCACTGATCAGGCCAACGTGTTTTTTGCGGTTTGCGCCGGGTGTTTTCCCCCTTGGTGTTGATTCAAGGTGGTCTCTGGCGGGCCCGACAAATTTGGTGACCTTTACAGCGCAAAAGTTCCGCGATACATTCGCCGTTTTCGAAGGAAGTCTTGGCAAAACGTGTTCGTGGAGACCTCTGCTGCGAAGGTGTGTTTCCACCTGCGCGCAATGTCTGGCTTTGGAGCTATGTACGATTTTCGTGGCATGAAACTTTCAGGGAGCATTTTTGTGCAAGACTTTCGCAACTTTTCCATCTGCGTGCGTGGCAGGCGTTGTATTTTGCACGCGATGCGAAAACGCTTCCAGGCTTGGCTCGAGATGAGGTGGTTTCGGAAGTCATTTTTGTAATTTTTTGTGGCAGGCGTAGTATTTGGTGAACTTGGACGATGTTTTGAGCAGATTTGAACAGCTCGCGGCATCGTTTTGTAAACATTCGCTATTTTTCTGCATGTCATGATTTTGCGTGGCAGGTGCAAGATTCTGCAAGATTCCGGATGCCTCAGGCGAATTTTTTTTTGGGGGAGGCGCAGTACTTTGACGCAAAATTCCCGAAACCTTATGGTACTGAGCTGCATCGTTTTCCACATTTTTAATGTTCATGTCTCGTGGTGAATGCATAACTGGTTTAGTGGCGCGGTCCTCATTTTGATATCCCTCGCGCAACCCTCTCCTCACTCTGTGTGTGTGTGGAAGAGCTGAAAAGATGTAGAGCTTCTGCCTTTGATTGCAAGTTTGTTGGTTGTTTGATTTATTGGATTCGCTGTCTCGTACAGCAAAGGTTCACCGGCGAAGCCTAGAAACGGCAGGTCGACGTTTTAATTCTTGGTACCTGCATGGTTCTCGCAATCGGGACAGTTCGACATAGTAAATTTCAAGTAATTAAACTGGCTATGGCAACAGCACTGGCCATGTTATGTTGTTACATTTGGGCATTGACCGCGTCTTTGTCGCGATGAATGGAATACATCAACATGGATCTCTATTTATAATCTTCGGATGGCTACCTAGGCCTGGTAATCTTGTTGTGCTTTGTACGAGGGGTTCAACTCCCAGCAGACCGTGGTTATGTTTCTTCCAGCGTGTTTGTGTTTGTGTGTGTGTGTTGGATCGCTTTTGTTGCGGCGCAGCGTTCATTTTGATATCGATCGCGCAACCCTCTCGTCGCTTTGTGCGTGTCAAATCGATGTCGCCGTGGCGCGGTGCTGGGGTTCTTGCTCAGAGATCTTGACGATGAGATCTGTTTTAGCGGACTTGCGCAGAGATCTTGACAAGAGGTCTCTCCCAGAGATATTGCTGAGGGATCTCTCAGAGAGAACTTGTACCGACATTTTATTTAAAGATCTTTGATCTTTGGCAAAGATCTTGCCAAGAGACTTCCTACAGAGAGAGAGAGAGCTTGTACAGAGATCTTGCCACAAGACCTCTTTTACAGATCTTCTACCGCAACCTTTCATACAGATCTCTTGCAGAGATCTCGCCAAGAGGTCTCTCACAGAGATCATCTTAAGAGATCTCCAATGGCGAGCTTGAACAGAGATCTTATTTAGACATCTCCAGCAAGATATTACATGGAGAGGGTTTTTTGGAGACCTTGTTACGGGAAGCTTGCAGAGATGTTGTGTAGATCTCCTACAGCGATCTTGCCAAGAGACCTGTCATAGAAACTTGGACAGAGACCTTGTATAAAGATCTGCAAGCGATGTTTTGTAGTCTGCTTGACGCGAGATGTTTTTGTAGAGAACATGTGCAGAAGCCTCGCCAAGAGACCTACTATAAGGAGCTTGTACAGAGATCATATGTAATTAGAGATCTGTTACGGCGATCTTGCCAAGAGACCTGTCATCGAGACCTCGCCCCAGTTTTTTATATAGAGACATTGACAGGGACTTACCACAAAAAACTTGACGAAGGGAACCTACACAGTATCTCTTGCGCTTACATTCTACAGATATCTTTGCAAAGGATATCGCGCAGAAGTTCCTACAGACATCTCAAGGGGACCTTGCGCATGATCTCCAGAGATCTTCACATATCTCCACAAAGGGAGCTTGCAGAATCCCCGGCATCTCTTCGGCGTGTTCTGTGCAACACGGTCTGGGGTTTCTTTGCAGGATAATTGTTTGTCGTTTCCGTAACTCAGGAATTTCGCGGATTCTCTTACAAGTAAAAAACGAAATGAGGCCCCATTTCTCTGCAAATCCAAGTAATGATAGCGTGTTTTATTTCAATATCACCCTGGCTACGAGGAAAGTCGGAGCATGAAGAGTTGCAACTGGGTCTTTTCACGTCGTTTAGGGTAATATCCCTTTAACTACTTTGGCTCAAGCAGTGCTAAAAGGCCGTGCGCCGCAGAAACATCTGGTCATCAACCGTAGGCTCTTCTCTCTTTTGTTTCGCCGCCTGTTTTTCCCTTTTTCCGTTTCTCCCGCCATTGGCGCTCCTTCGCTGTTTTTCCTGCCGCTGCTTCTTTTACTTTGTGCTGCTGATCCTTGTGCGGTTTGTGCGAATCTCATCTGCATGTGGTGTTGGATGCCTAGGAAAGAGAGGGGTGGTTAAAAAACAAGCCATCTAAGGAGCTGAGTGCGGCGGTCGCAAGGGGGGAACACGAGCCCAAGACGGCTCCAAAGTCAAAAACTAGCAATGAAAGGACGCGTAAGATCGTTGAAGCTGTTCAGGCTGAGTCATTGGGGTCTACCGTTGTTACATCCGAAGTCCAGTCGGTACCAAAGTGTATTGAAACTGGGAGTAGGTCAGTGCTTCAGCACCAGCTAGTTTGTCAAATGCACAAGAGGCTTCAAAGTTTGTTGCAGTAGCTGTCGAGGAACCAGAGTTTCCGGATTTTGTAAGTTCCGTTGGGGACAAGGCAGTACCGGCTAAGCCATTGTTGTCATCTCCAATCCCACAGTTTTTGGGCAAATCCGACCCTCCGAAACCTGAGCCAGTTGTTCAGTCACCGAAGTCATCAAGCGTGTTGGCACAAAGGAAGGGGGTTCGTCACCAGCGTCTAGTCAAGTCCAGTTGCTGCTGTGAAGGGTACCAGTTCTGTTGTTCCGGTTCCACCCAAGAAAAGACCAGCAGAACCTTCGAACCCATCGGAGGCAATCAGTCAGCTTAGATCAGCTGTTGTGAAAGACCATCTCATCCAGCTACGCCACCACTTGCACAGTCGTTGGGTGTTGGGGCCGCAATCCAAGAGTGTAGGATTTCCATTGTTTACAGTCGCGTGTTGAACGTTGAGTACGCTGGGGATCGTGAAAGTCTTGGCATTCACCCGGCAGACGTTCGATTGTTGAAAGAGTTCATTAGGACTCACAAGGATCGCGGGCTAAGGATTGGGGTCACTAGCTACATTGGAACCCAAGGCTGGTATTCTCAGGATCGTAGGAACCATCTGAAGCAAGAAATCAGGGAGTTCAACCGTTCCGAGACTGATCCCAAGGCAAAGCTAGGTGTGTGCATTGTAGACACTCGACAAAAGGGGTTGTTTCTCAACACGACTGGTTGCAAACTGGAGTGTTTGGATTCCTGTCACCCTGCAATCACAACATGTTGGATATCACAGGCTAAGAGGCATCACAGGCATCGTATCGTGTCCTCTCTCCGTTAAGCCCTTGAGCAGATTGAGCAGGGAAGGTTCCAATCAACTCTGCAAGCGCGGCCATTCGAGAACTGTTGAGCTGTCTGCTAAACCTATTCGAGACTTGCTCAGCACTTGCGCGGGAAGGAAGGAAATGGGCAAATCGTCAGATACTATAGCTTCAATTTCATTAGTAGCTCCGGGGGAGTTCAAGGGCTTCCGGCACTTCGGACATCAAGGGAGTCAAGTATGGTGGTGCGGCTCGGATGCCTCGTGAACAGGAGTTACAATAAATGAGGCAAGTCTCACCTAGCACCCATTCCAGTCCCCCACCGCTAGAAGATTGGACAGGGAGTCCCGATTTTCAGATGGGTAACCGGGTCCTTATCATCGCTCATTCGACGCCATTTGGCAGGGAGTTGAGAAAGCTTTGTTGGAAGCTCGATATGACGCCAATGCTCAGTCGGTTAGGGACGACTTGAAAAGGGGACCACAGGGTAAGAGAATTGCAATGCCAGGCACCAAAGGTGATTGCAAAACGAAGGACAGGAGGGCCAACCACAACGACAAGACAGGTAAAGCTTTGCGCTTGCTTCGCATCCCCTTTGGGGCTTTGCGGCACTGTGCGCTGGCAGCGGATCTGAGAGGTAGGTGGGCCAAATTTAATTAAGAATTTAGTTGTGTGACCCGATCGGAACCTGCCACAGGATAAGCAGGGTCGTATGCATTGTCGCTTGCGCAACCCTGGCTGGGTGGGCTGCATAGGTGGCAGATACAGGCTTTTGACGCACTGGGTCTTTTCACGTCGTTTAGGGCCTTAGGGTAATATCCCTTTAAGTACTTTGGCTCAAGCGTTGCTAAAAGGTTGCGCGCCGCAGAAACACTTGCATGTAAAAACCCGCTTGTTTGGGCGAATTGTTTTCAGTCAAAGGGCATGAGCGAATATTTGGGTTTGTTCAAAGAATAGGCGCGCACACCGTATCCAGATTTGTTGGTGAATCATCATGGCATTCCGAAAGAGAAGTGCCATTGAAAATAGTGAAACCGTGTGCCCTGTTCCATTTCATTTTGCCCGCTTTTCATCAAGGCAGTCCTTATTGGCGACAATCTTCATTTCGGACCATGATGGTTTTGTCTCAATATTGACTACCCTGTATTTATCCTTATTGTATCCCAGCAAATACCTCCGTTAGAGTTTGGCGAAATATTCCCAAAAAATCCCATATATAGATTATATATATATATATCATATGTATATTTCATCCAAAACATTTCATACTTTTCTCCCAATCCAGCCTGTGAAGAGTATCATATCTCATCTCGTGCCCAGAGATTGAAGGTCTCGTTCTGCGAGCTCATGAGGGGCGGACACTTCACCAATGTGTTTCATTACCATGAACCCTTGGCTCAGTTAGTTTATTTTATTTTCGCCGAGGTAAGCCAACACAAAAGCATGTGGAACACCCATGGGAAAACCCGTTCGAGATTAATCGGGTTTCCGCCACGTCTATATTACAGAAAAAATATTTTTCAATCGGAAACTAAACAAATGCAACATTGGAATACGTAGATGTTGTGTATTCTTCTTTCGAGGCCACTATTGTGAACGACATTTTTTTAAAATGTTTTTGGGCCAAAAAAACAACGCACATCCAAGGATACTCACAACACACAACTACGCAAAGTGTCCTCATACATCTCAGCCGCGGACTTTTTAGTGATCACTGTCCTCTGCCACTTCATCGCAAACAAAATCGGGATTTGATTGGGATTTCACCTTGGAAAATATGGATTGAATGGGATTTAAATATGACAGTTGAAAACACCAACCAGTGATTTCAATCGTTTTATGCATGCGTATTGCTTAAACTTACCACCACAATGGATGGCACCACAATGGATGGCACCACAATGGATGGTTTGTTATACGGTAAGGCTTGTAAGGGAATATTTGTTTGAATTACTTGACATTTTGTATACATATTAAATGATGAAACTTGGGTTGAACCGGTTGTGCAAGTTTAAAGGAAACACTGGGAACTACGAGAGAATCCCATATTGGGTCACCGAGCGTCACCGAAGCAGCGGCTCACCTGGCTCTCATATGAGAGGTTTTTCGATATCCACAATGGTAAAATTCGTAAAACCCTTTGAAAAGGACACAAAAAGTGATCAAAAAGTGATCAAAAGTGATCAAAAAGTGATCAAAAAGTGATCATGGGTTCATGGCGAACAAAAGGCAAACCCTGAAGTAACCAACCAGGGGTTTGATCAAGAAAGAATTCCTTCGCAAACATAGTAGCATTTTGGGGCGACATGATTTGTGTACGAAAACCTGCCAAAAAGGGAACCTGCAGTGCTGTTCAATTTTCACATGATTGTTGGCCTCAAATCGGATTTTTCTCAATTTCACATGGCACCCTTAAGACCGTTCTCCTTCCATTCATTGACAGTTTGAGGTTATTTCACAGGTGACAGAGACTTTGTCGACTGTGTAGTTCAACACTGCAACTCCTTGGTGGAGAACGGAAACTACACTGCAGACATGATCGTCCAAAGTCCAGAAAACTTTGCAAGAGCCAGGGTCAAAGCCCACATCCAGTGCCTTGGAAACACAATTTTTCTAACGTGGTACACCCAAAAGTATAACGCCATAAATGGATGGTAGAGATCACCACCAAATGGAAGCTGTTTATGACATTTTCTGTGCTACAAAAAAATCATCTTGCTGACTTGGTCTGTTGTTGATGGCTGGTTTTTTGTTGGGTCCTTTGGGTGCCCTGTTGCTGCCGTGTTGGTCTAGGTACCCTGTGGCAATCTCCCTCTAAAACACCTCAATTCATGGGTGTTGTGATAGTAAAACAATGACAAACCATTGTTTTTTGCCAACATTTGTTTTTCGATGAAACACGTTTTCAATGATTTTACGGAGAAACATTATGATCCGAATCATTTTTCCATTTTATCCAAGTCAAAATCATTGAAAAGGCATGGTTGATCATCATTTTCCTCCATTTTCAACAGAAGTTGGAGTCCAAAAAAAACAACATGAGGCACATGTCCTACACGGACCGGCGCTTCGTGAGCCTCTTTCATCGCCGGTTTCGGCCGGCGATGCTGTGGGACAATCAATGGCGTGGCATCGTGCTGGATGGATTTTCGGATGAGTCCAAGCGAGATGAGGCTGGGGCTTCAGCCAGGATTGGTCGGGAGGTGGTGAATGTTGGTCATATGATGTCCACATCGATCCCTAAATCCTCATGAGGTTGTTGGTTTTCTACCGCTTTTGGACAAACCCAGAATCAATCTTTCGTTTTCGAGGAAAACCCACAGGAAAGCAGGGGTTTGTCGCAAAACAGTTGAATCTTTGCGTGTCTTTTTCTTTGAAACTTGGGACGCCTGGGAAACCTGTTTGAAGGTATATCATGGTACATCCGATAAATCTATAAAGATCGTCAGTTCACAGATGTTAGTATCAATTTTTCTCGAAACCTGGAGTTCCCCAGTGGACACCCCCATGAGGTCCCAAAGACCTTGCTGGACTTCTCCATGGCAAGGTTGAAGGAATTTTTCCTTCCCATTGCCAACTGCGCCTCAAACATTGCAGCGCAGAAAGAGTCTGGGTGGATACCAAGAAACATGCAGACTTTCAGACTTTGGTTTTTTTCGGTCGAATTAGATGAACCACAACCGTAGAATACTAGATGAACCCCATAGTTTTCGAGACTAGTCTATACGATTTGATTTTCCCATGATTTACCCAATTTACCCAAAGTATCCCACTAAAAATCATCAGCATTTTTCCGGCCGAGGAGTACAGCGGGATCTTTTTGGCCATCGAAAAGGCCTCGAAGAAAACCGATGCTGTAACCTTTCATGCCAAGAACATGGCCAACACTCTCGAGAGCCGATCTTTAGTCACATTTTGGTCCGACAAATATGGGATGTCTTGGGAGGATATATATATATATATGTATATATTTTTCATTATATATATAAATATAAATATATATATAATTATATATTTATAATCATGATCGACTACATAGAATATGCCCAATTTCAACCCTTCAGGTGTGGACAGAAAAAAACAACTTAGAATATTTGGGGTAGAAATATTTGCGATAGAATTTTGGAGTGCAGCCACAGTGCCAAAGCAAATACCATAGGAATAACGATGTTCCCATATCGAAAGCATGAGTGAAACCTAGCAGATTGTACATTTTTTTTGGTTTTGGATCAGGATTGAGGAAAGAAACGGGTTTCCCAAATTGACCAGGTTTTGGCTCCATTTGACATTAAAGAAAGTAATTTGACTTGAACAAAAGGATCCCCCCACGAATTGCCAAATTTAAGGCAATCATGGTACCGACAAATGCACCATGTTCACCCATATTCTATGTATGTATTCCTGCAGCTGATAACTGATGGCAGCCTAAATAAACATCCAAGAAAAAAGAAAAAGCAAGGGGAGGAAGAAGAGAATGCCAGCGGATACCTGCAAGAAAACACTCCGTCAATAACTTTTGGATCAGAATTGTGGAAAGAAATAGGTTTCCCGACTTGACAAGTTTTTGATTACACTTTACATTAAAAGAATGCAGTTTGAAGTTCCCAAAAGGCTCCCCCCACGAGTTGCCAAATTTCAGGCAATCATTGCATTGACAAATGTATGATGTTCCATATTCTATGTATGGGTTTCTGCAGCTGATAGCTGATGGCAGCCCAAACAAGCATCAAAGGACAAAGAAAAGCAAGGGTAGGAACAGAAGAGAATACAAGCGAACACCCTCTTTGCATCAAAAAGGAATGCGTATACGACACCGGTCGTGGGGTGTACCCTTCGGTGAGCTTGAAAAAATCATTTTTAAATACAATATGAAAAGAAATTGATCATTTCGCGGGACTTGTTTTTTGGTTGAAACGTTCTAGTTAAGGAACTTCAGACCTCCAGGGTTGCTACTCCCCAAAGGAAATTTCGTATATAATCTATTCCCTTATACATGAAAGAGACCCAATTCCTTGCAGAACTACATACATAGAATATAGGTCCCTAGTCAAAATATCCATTCATTTTTCAGGAACACCACCTAATTCCATCGGTTTTCATTGCAAAATATTTTTTTCATAGTTCCACGACACCGGTCGTTGGGTGTACCCTTCAGTGAGCTTGAAAAAATCATTTTTTAAAAACAATATAAGAAGAAATTGTTTTTTTCGGGGGACCTGTTTTTTGGTTGAAACTTTCTAGCTGAGGAACTTCAGACATCCAGGGTTGCTGCTCCCCAAAGGGACTTACGTATATGATATATACCCTTGTACATGAAAGGGACCCAATTCCTTGCAGAACTACATACATAGAATATAGGTCCCCAGTGAAAATATTCATCCATTTTTTGAGGAACACCACCTAGCTCTAATAGTTTTCATTGCAAAATAGTTTTTTGTCATAGTTCTACGACACCGGTCGTGGGGGGTACCCTTCGGTGAGCTTGAACAATTTTATGAAAGATTTTTCGTGTTTTGGTGGATTTTAGTGGTGAAAAAATTGAAAACTGTCCATTTATGCCCATTTATGCTGCATCATGGGTGATATTTCGATAATTCAAATGATTTTAGTGGAATGAAAATTTGAAAAATGCCTATTTATGTCCATTTATGCTGCAGTACGGGTGATATTTTGATAAGTATTCTATGTACACTCCTGGGATATTCTATGTACACCGTTTTTTCCCCACTTGCCAGGTGAGGGTTGTTAGATTTTATCAGAGCTGTTCTTCCGCCTCCTCCTCCTCCGCCTCCTCTTCGCCAACTTCCGAGCTCAGTGGGCACTGCTGGACCTCAACCGCCAACGTCCGGCCTCAGTGGGCACCGCTGGACCTCAACCGCCAACGTCCGGCCTCAGTGGGCACCGCTGGACCTCAATTGCCAGCTGCCGATCTCAGTGGGCACCGCTGGACCTCAACCGCCAACGTCCGGCCTCAGTGGGCACCGCTGGACCTCAATTGCCAGCTGCCGATCTCAGTGGGCACCGCTGGACCTCAACCGCCAACGTCCGGCCTCAGTGGGCACCGCTGGACCTCAATTGCCAGCGTCCGATCTCAGTGGGCACCGCTGGACCTCAACCGCCAGCGTCCGATCTGAGTGGGCACCGCTGGACCTCAACCGCCAGCGTCCGATACTGCCAAATAGAATGCCAAAATATATGCCCAAAAGATTGCCAGAGTATATGCCAGAAAGAATGCCAGAATATATGCCCAAAAGATTGCCAGAGTATATGCCAGATAGAATGCCAGAAGATATGCCAGATAGAATGTCAGAATATATGCCAGATAGAATGTCAGAGTATATGCCAGATAGAATGTCAGAATATATGCCAGATAGAATGCCAGAATATATGCCAGATTGAATGCCAGAATGTATGCCAGATAAAACGCCAGAATATATGCCAGATAAAATGCAAGATGGAATGTCAGAACATATGCCAGATAGAATGTCAGAATATATGCCAGATAGAATGTCAGAATATATGCCAGATAGAATGCCAGAATGTATGCGAGATAGAATGCCAGAATATATGCCAGACAAAACGCCAGAATATATGCTAGATAAAACGCCCAAATATATGCCAGATAAAATGCCAGATAGAATGTCAGAACATATGCCAGATAGAATGCATGAATATATGCCAGATAGACTGCCAGAATATATGCCACATAGAATGCCACATAGAATGCGAAAATATATGCGAGAAAGAATGCCGCATAGAATGCCAGAATATATGCCAGAATATGGCACGCCAACAGAAGGCAGCGTATGTTCGACCCATCAAGGATTCGAGTGTGGTGGCAGGACGAGTCTCAGAACAAGTCTGTGGTCGCTTAGTGCATCATTACACAGAGACGTTCAAGAAGGGAACCAGCAAAAGTGTTGCAGTGCTTGTGGATGACAATGCACTGCGGTCGGTGTTGGTGCTGGAAGCGTGGAGTGTGGCAGATCAAACACACATGCAGAATGCGGCAGACCGGCTAGCAACGTCACAGACCAAAAAAAACGCAATGGCTTGCTTGCAAAGGGAGTGGCTGGTATCTATGTGATCCTCACCATGATATGTCATGGTGGGGATCACTCGAAGTAAAGTAATTTCAATTCTGGAAGATGCACCAAGTCGTTTTTTTCAATTCTATGTTCTATGTTCGGGTACTTCCCTATACATGAAAAGAATGCAGTTTGAAGTTCCCAAAAGGCTCCCCCCACGAGTTGCCAATTTTCAGGCAATCATTGCAATGACGAATGTATCATGTTCCATATTCTATGTCTGGGTTTCTGCAGCTGATAGCTGATGGCAGCCCAAACAAGCATCAAATGAAAAAGAAAAGCAAGGGTAGGAACAGGAGAGAATACAAGCGAACACCCTCAAGAAAACACTCCGTCAATAACTTTTGGATCAGAATTGTGGAAAGAAATAGGTTTCCCGACTTGACAAGTTTTTGATTACACTTTGCATTCAAAGAATGCAGTTTGAAGTTCACAAAAGGCTCCCCCCACGAGCTGCCAAATTTCAGGCAATCGTTGCATTGACAAATGTATGATGTTCCATATTCTATGTATGGGTTTCTGCAGCTGATAGCTGATGGCAGCCCAAACAAGCATCAAAGGAAAAAGAAAAGCAAGGGTAGGAACAGGAGAGAATACAAGCGAACACCCTCAAGAAAACACTCCGTCAATAACTTTTGGATCAGAATTGTGGAAAGAAATAGGTTTCCCGAATTGACAAGTTTTTGATTACGCTTCGTATTAAAAGAATGCAGTTTGAAGTTCACAAAAGGGCCCCCCCCACAAGTTGCGAAATTTCAGGCAATCATTGACAGATGTACCATGTTCATCTATATTCTATGTATGGGTTTCTGCAGCTGATAATTGATGGCAGCCCAAACAAACATCCAGGAAGAAAGGAAAGGCAAGGGGAGCAAGTAGTGGTCACCCCGCGATTGCCTCAGCAAAACGCGTTGCAGCACTGTTTCCATGCTGAAATCACCGTTGTCCCTTTGCGGAACTGATTTGAATCACAGGCAGCTGCAGCAATCCATGCTTCTGTCAAAAACCTAAGAAAATTTATTTCCCCGGGTCAAAATGGATAGCCGGAAATATTCTATGTATAGGTTTTTTTACCGATTCCGGAAGGTGCTTTGTGAGGCCGAAATTATCGATTCTGTGTTCTATGTATCCCATCTAGATAAAATACATACATACAAACATACAGACATACAGGCATACATACACACATACAGACATACAGACATACAGACATACATACAGACATACATACAGACATACATACAGACATACATACAGACATACATACAGACATACAGACATACAGACATACATACAGACATACAGACATACAGACATACAGACATACAAACATACAGACATACAGACATACAGACATACAGACATACAGACATACAGACATACATACAGATACATACAGACATACATACATACAGACATACAGACATACAGACATACAGACATACAGACATACAGACAGACATACAGACATACAGACATACAGACATACAGACATACAGACATACAGACATACAGACATACAGACAAACAGACATACAGACATACATACAAACATACAGACATACAGACATACAGACATACATACCTACCTACCTACCTACCTAATATATATATAAATAAATGTATTTAGATATGGTTATAACGTGTTTCGCCGCCTCCACCCAGTGCTTTCAAATATTCTATATGTGGCTGTTTCAGAGATGTTGTGCACGTTTCAGAGATGTTGTGCACGTGGCAGAGATGTTGTGCACGTGGCAGAGATGTTGTTCACGTTTCAGAGATGTTGTGCACGTGCCAGAGATGTTGCGCACCTTTCCCAGCATTTGTGCACGTGTCACAGAAGTTGTGCACATTTCAGAAGCCTTGTAATAACGTTTGTGTTCAGCTGTATACACACTGAGCGCATTTGAATCAGCAAAAGCATTGGGGCGACCAAACACGTTCTCCCATATACGCACACATGTAAATATATAATATAGGATTAACATGGATTAAATTGCTATACAACCTACCACAATGGGTTTATAATGGGGATGGACCACCATTATGTATGATTCGGGCGTCCCCAAAAATGTCGTATTATACCCCCAATATGGCCATCAAACAACAGGAAAAATGAGGATTGACCACTGGATTTAGGGGTCCCTGGGGCCCATCCTATTTCCAGAAATTCAATTTGGTAGGTTAAAACATGGTAAAGATAAGATGTTTAATCTGTTGAATCTGTTGAATCATATCAAATCCTTGTTTTGGTCTAACGATTTTTGCAGTTGCCCTGGGTTTGCTAAATGGGATTTCCTGTTAGTTTAGCTACAAGGACTAGGGGAGTTGATCAGCCGATTTTTCTGATTTTTTGTGGGCCAAAGAGATGGACAAATCCAAGGGTACCTGGATTGCAAGTGGCATGCTGCACCGGAATCTGCACACAACGGCCTGGGACCAGGATTCCGGCACATGAGTCACATTAAGGCCGGTCATGGCAAGTGCACAGGCAACTTGGATTTTTCTTGACTTTTCCGCGCGGTTTCCAGATTTTGTTTTTCAGAAGACATGGTTAAAATATGTTAGAATCTTTTGGGAATTGACATGAATGGTTCTTTTTCCCAAACAGAGTTGCACACTGAGGGGTTCTTACGGTAACAGTTAAGGGCCGGTGTTCAATCGAGGTGGTATCGGAAGCGTCCGGCATTTTCCCTGTAAATTTCTCCACGAACTGACTCTTGTGACATGTCCATGTGCATTTCGACTGCGCAGGCTCGCACAAAACACTGGTCGCGGGATACGCGTACGGCATTTTCCTTGTAAATTCCCGCACAAAATGCCTCTTGTGACATGTCCATGTGCATTTCGACTGCGCAGGCTCGCACAAAATGCTAGCCGCCGCATCATCATCATCATCATCATCATCGTCATCGTCATCATCATCATCATCATCATCATCATCAACATCGTCATCAACAAAAACATCATCATTATCATCATCAACATTGTAAATACACAACCTTTTTACTCCCTCCACACTGTCTGGGGCCTCTTACCGGGATAATTTTGTTGTAACTTTTGTGTTTTTTTTTTGCGCCGTAGGGCCGGCCCAAGGCAAAATGACCAGGGAAGCAATGGAAGAGTGCCTCAATGAGACGACGCAACACTTGCGGAATCTCTGGCCCTTTGGCTCCCAGGTCCGAAAGCGGCATGTACAGAGTCTTTACTGTGCCACCTGGAGAAAAACCAAGCGTTTTCATGAAGGTTTTTGTTTCATTTTTTTTGTCATCTTTGCGTTTTTTTGTGAAACATCAACCTCTCCATATCTTGATGGATTGTCCAATGCCGGAAGAAATTTGCCAAGATCCAGTAAAGTCAGACGTATGCCTTGCCATGGTCAAAAAAGTCAAAAAATGGAGCAGATTTGCCCAAATTGAGGGATGGTCATAGCACCAATCCGTTGTCATAAAGATTTATATACCCATCATCTTTGGATTCCCATGATAATCTACGCTAGTTCGTATAAAGATGCCATAAAAACAGAATTGGTGTTGAAACTCCGAGGAGACGCAAAAATTTCTCAAGATGGCCCGGCAGGGCTCTGCATTTGCGACAATTTGTCGTGTGCAGAAAGGGATTACATGGGAGTCGCTGCATCGAACCCATGAGCAGCGAGAAAGGAGACAGAAGATCCTTGGAAACAAAGGATAACAAAGGGAAATATGGTGAAAAAATAATCAAAATATTGATGAAATATAGATATCTCATAAATCTCACTGCAAAACATCGGGATTTCCCGGATTAGCGATTTTTGGAGCAATACCTTGGGAGTATCTGGGGTATGATTTAGGGGGTGCAAAAAAAACTCTGAGGAAGTGTTTGATTCCATCATGTTTTTCACCCTGAAATGTATACATATCCTCATATATCCTCTAGATTCATATGGCAACCATTTTGGGGGGGAACCGGACATGATGATTTAATTTACTTGATGGTTTAATATTAAAACTTGGGGGTTTGAGTCGGCTTGAGCAACAAAAAATGCAATCTAATGGGGGCCATTTCAATCACCCACCAGGAAACTTGGATATGCAACTAAAGATGGGGACAAGTATGGGATACCTCCAATAGAAACATCAGCAAAAGTGGTGGTTTATGAATATCCATTCTTTTTGGCCATATATTATATTATATATATATTGGCCATACTTTTGAGCCATTGACTGTGCCATGTCTCAATGGAAATTGGACCAACGTGACCTTTTTTTTTCCTGTTCCAATGCGTTGAGTTTCCTGGCAGGTCTCAAGGCTCCAAACGGAAGCCGAAGCCACGGACGCTGAAACGTCGCTGCCGAAAGGGCCGTGGCCAGTAGTTGGAGTAGTTGGAGTAGTTGGAGTAGTTGGTTGGGTTTGTCGCATTTAGTCGCAGGAATTCTGGGCAAAGGCCAAACATCTAATGCGGCTTGGAAAAACATCAAGAAGCGTCAACACTTTTGGGAGAATCCAAAACAATCCAAAACATATGCCTTATCCGTATCCAATCTGGTCTAATTATAGTTCAGAAAATGACGAGGCCACAATTTTCACCGAGGATTTACATGGCAGATTTCTGGACAAATCCAGCCTTGACTTGGAAAAGTCATTGCATCATTGGACACACCAGCAGGTAGCTTCGTTAAAAAGCCATCGAATCCAATCGGCTCAAGAGCGCAATGCAGGTTGAATAAAAAGAGATTGTGCAGACGCAAAAGTGACAGCATGTGATATCAGTGAGTCTTCGCTTCGTTGCTGTCCTTGACATGAAACAGTACTTCTCCCATCTTCCTCTCCCGTTTCCGAATGATCTCTGATCAAGTACTGATCAACAAACGTCGTCAATCATCGTCATTCTGCCTTGACAAGCTTTGAACATTTGATGATTCTTGAAGCATCAAGGCATCAAGTGAGATGATTCAGGGCACCCTGGGCACCCTCAACTCACATGATTATCCCATGATTATGATATATTTTTTATATCATGATGCTTTTCCCAGTCAACATTGCCATTTTGGGTGTGAATAGTGAATGGACTTTAAGGCTTGAAACTTGGATTGCAACGTTCAATGGATTGATATTTGCAAAAGTGAACGACACCAGTTTTTGTTGCCCCCAAATACACAGACGCTTCCTTGTATGTCATATATTCTCTTGATTTTGGCAAACCTTGGCAAACCTTCGAATGGGTAGTTGAGAATCGTGTAATCTCATAACATAATATAATATATATATATATTGAGTGTTTTCAAAAGGCTTGGTAGTCCGGGACCATTTCCGAAACCTTAAAATTGTTCATAATTGTTCAAAATTGTTTCAACAATTGTTTTAAATTGTTCAACAATTGTTGGAAATTGTTTAAAATTGTTTCAACAATTGTTTAAAATTGCTGAAAATTATTTCAACAATTGTTCAAAATTGTTTAGAATTGTTTCAAACATGGTTCAAAATTGTTGAAAATTGTTTCAACCATTGGTTCAAAATTGTTGAAAATTGTTCCAACCATTGTTCAAAATTGTTTGAAATTGTTTCAAAAATTGTTCAAAATTGTTTCAACAAGTGTTTAAATTGTTTTTTCTCAACAATTGTTTCAACAGTTCTTCAATCTTGGTTGCTAAATGTTGCAACACATGTTTCAATTTGTTGATTAAAGGACCGGATGACCCCACAAGTCAACTTCTTCCTAAAATGAGCTTCAATGGTTTCAGCGGGGACAGGGAAGGAAGGAAAGACAAAGGAGGTGGTGAAAGATCGTGTATGTATGTATGTATGTATGTATGTAGGTATGTAGCTGGTTGTCAATGCAACTATGGAAGACACGACACAGTCACAGTCACAGGCAAACACCATGACACTAACTGTGCAGGTTTTTCCAAAGATGTCAAGCAACCGCACAGTTCAGAAACACATAGGCGTCGCGATTTTTTCCACATAAGTGTCGCTTCGCCACGGATCTGCATACGCTTCTTCCCACATTGGGTCAAAGCTCTGGCTCCCGACGTCATAGATTGCTTGACTCATTGTCGGGCCGTGAGACACGCGCCTGTCCTCCGTCCAAGAAGCTCACTGGAAGGGCCCCTGCGGCAGTTGCAAAGACACAGAGGCTTCATGCGTGCTATCTTGTTACTACATGACAGCTGCAATAGCTCGGCACGGGATGAACCCCAAGAACCAATCTATTCTACATAGCTTAACCACAGTAGATATCTTATTGATCAACCGTATAGATGGCCCACACTACGCCGCAAGTGCAGTTCCCGGCCTGCGCATTACTTCACCATTGACAAGCAACACCTGGCAGCACAGAAAAAGGTTCAAGACGAAACCACAAAATAAAATATATAGTTCTTTGGTAGAGATCCACAGCGCAGCCTGCAGTTGTTGGCATCGACTGCAACAGAGCGGAAAAGTACCTGGCCGCAAAAGGACAGAACGTGTATATGCAGCTAGCTATCAAAGCAACATGCGTAGAAACGATACAATGCAGTCTGTTGCACGAATTGTCACCTTTTCGCTGTGATCCAAAGCCTGGCAAGACCTGTAGCACTTCTTCCTGCAGTGGGGCAAACCCGACACATGTCACGAACGGTTTTGATTTGGCCGTTGCGACCCCACTCTTCCCACATGGGGTCAACAATGGGTCTAGGAGAAAACGAAGAGAGTACTACGATGACTTCAACCGGTGACCTACGAAGAAAACCGCGCCTGCCCTAAGGTCACAGGCCCGATGACGATACCAGAACGGAAAAGTACCTGGCCGCAAAAGGACAGCGATGTATATGGAGCTGGTTGTCAAAGCAACAAATACAGAAAGGATAAAATTCAGGTTGCCGCACGAATGCCACCTTTTCGTCGTGATCAAAATCTTCACAAGGTCTGTAGCCCCTCTTCCCACAGTGGGGCAAAATGCAGACATGTCACGAACATTTGTAATGTAGCCGTGGCGACTCCAGTCTTCCCACATTGAGTCAACCATGGGTCCCGCAGCTAACAAAAGGTGCGGTGGCCGTCGTCATTCTCATGTCTTTCCACACTGAGTCAATCATGAGATGAGAGTTGACAAAAGATTCGCAGGCCGGCCCCACGCATGTCTTCCCACAGTGAGTCAACAATGCGCGCGGCTAGTGCGTCTGACGACGTCAATGCGGCCGAATACAAACTCACTTCATTGCTCTCGCCAGCCTCTCAAAGCTCTATGATACCTTGCTAGTATTTGTTCTCGCACTTCGCATGATCGTTGCTGTAACTCCGCTTCTACGTTCAGGAGATTATCTTTCAGCATAGCGATGACAGCCAAGCTGTTGCGGCTAATTGCCCTGATCTCTTCTAACAGTGGTATCAATCGCTCCAGAAGTACGACTAACGTCTGCACTAACCTCAGAAGTGGCGCGGCGTCACGGGCGTCACGCGCGCCTAAACCAAGTCCAAGCGCGCCACCCAGTGCCATGTGTACCACGCCTGCCACGCAAAACGACGGTAGATGTGAGGTTGTGCCACGCCTGCCACGTGAAACGAAGGTGGATGTCACCAAGTGCCACGCCTGCCACGCAGAAGTGGCGCGGCGTCACGGACGTCACGCGCGCCTAAACCCAGTCCAAGCGCGCCAGCGGAAGCACGTAGCAGGCCGACAGAAGAAAGTGCTTACCACGCCTGCCACGCAAAACGACGGTAGATGTGAGGTTGTGCCACGCCTGCCACGTGAAACGAAGGTGGATGTGTGTTTGTGCCACACCTGCCACGCAGAAGTGGCGCGGCGTCACGGGCGTCACGCGCGCCTAAACCAAGTCCAAGCGCGCCACCCAGTGCCATGTGTACCACGCCTGCCACGCAAAACGACGGTAGATGTGAGGTTGTGCCACGCCTGCCACGTGAAACGAAGGTGGATGTCACCAAGTGCCACGCCTGCCACGCAGAAGTGGCGCACCGTCACGGGCGTCACGCGCGCCTAAACCCAGTCCAAGCGCGCCACCCAGTGCCATGTGTACCACGCCTGCCACGCAAAACGACGGTAGATGTGAGGTTGTGCCACGCCTGCCACGTGAAACGAAGGTGGATGTCACCAAGTGCCACGCCTGCCACGCAGAAGTGGCGCGGCGTCACGGGCGTCACGCGCGCCTAAACCCAGTCCAAGCGCGCCACCCAGTGCCATAAGTGCCACGCCTGCCACGCAAAACGACGGTAGATGTGAGGTTGTGCCACGCCTGCCACGTGAAACGAAGGTGGATGTGTGTTTGTGCCACGCCTGCCACGCAGAAGTGGCGCGGCGTCACGGGCGTCACGCGCGCCTAAACCCAGTCCAAGCGCGCCACCCAGTTCCATGTGTACCACGCCTGCCACGCAAAACGACGGTAGATGTGAGGTTGTGCCACGCCTGCCACGTGAAACGAAGGTGGATATCACCAAGTGCCACGCCTGCCACGCAGAAGTGGCGCGGCGTCACGGGCGTCACGCGCGCCTAAACCCAGTCCAAGCGCGCCACCCAGTGCCATAAGTGCCACGCCTGCCACGCAAAACGACGGTAGATGTGAGGTTGTGCCACGCCTGCCACGTGAAACGAAGGTGGATGTCACCAAGTGCCACGCCTGCCACGCAGAAGTGGCGCGGCGTCACGGGCGTCACGCGCGCCTAAACCAAGTCCAAGCGCGCCACCCAGTGCCATGTGTACCACGCCTGCCACGCAAAACGACGGTAGATGTGAGGTTGTGCCACGCCTGCCACGTGAAACGAAGGTGGATGTCACCAAGTGCCACGCCTGCCACGCAGAAGTGGCGCGGCGTCACGGGCGTCACGCGCGCCTAAACCCAGTCCAAGCGCGCCACCCCGTGCCATAAGTGCCACGCCTGCCAAGCAAAACGTGTGTGTGTGTGTGTTGGTGTGTGTGTGTGTGTGTACCACGCGTGTGTGGTGTGTGTGTGTATGTATGTGTGTGTGTGTGTTGGTTTGTGTTGGTGTGTGTGTGTGTGTGTTGGTTTGTGTTGGTGTGTGTGTGTGTGTGTGTTGGTGTGTGTGTGTGTTGGTGGGGTGTGTGTGTGTGTGTTGTTGTTGTTGTTGTGTGTGTGTGTGTTGGTGTGTGTGTGTGTTGGTGTGTGTGTGTGTGTTGGTGTGTGTTGGTGTGTGTGTGTGTACCATCTGAACAGATGTAAAACTTCTGATTGGTTTTCACTAATTTGCAGGGGAGTGGTGAGCAATGATGAAGTCACCACTCAACGAAGACGCTTCATCATTTGCTGTGATATGACGAAGGGACGCCTTTGTCACGTACCTGCTTTTTTCGGACATAGCAAGGGGCCAAGCTAAGAACCCCAACCACAATCTTATACAATTTGCTGCACTGTTGTCGCAATCTGGAATTACTTTTGGTCATTTACTAT